AGAGGAGTCAAAGAAAAACAAGGGAAGGGGCACAATGGCTGGCTGGCTGCACCAGTAAAACCAGTTTGTCACCTTTTAATGAACCATAAAGGGCTGAGGAATGATTTCTTCCTCTCCAAAACACCCCTCCATCATCTCTTTCTCACATACCCTCTCCCAAACCCCCTCCCCTTCTTCTATTCCCAAAGCAGAAATGTACTGGAAAACGAGAACAATTGAAACTGTTTCTGCTAGTACTGTATTATTTTAAGGTGTCAAGTTTGTATGTTCATCTTAAAGTGGGAATTAAGTTTATTTCCTTTATATTTCAATGCTGTTACTTGTGCATCATAAGAATAAGCTTGAGTGTGTGTATGTGTGCTTGTCAAAGATGATATAAAGATTCCTGCAGTGTGAGAAAGACCTATGAGTGTGCACTCCAAGAGGGGTGCAACTCCAGTTTTAGGTGATTTAAATTTTTTTATGCTACTGAAATGAACCTTACAGAATGCGCTCAGGCTTTCAATTCCAGATGAATGTTATTATTTTCAAGTAATTTTTCAATGCTTTCATATTCAGAATCAGTGTCCACATCAGTAAATCTAAATGTATTCTTTTTTTCTATAATCTAAATTACAATATCAAATACAATCAGAGAGACAAGAATAAAACTGTTCGTGTTTAGTTATAATTCAAAAACATCCAAAAATATGTGTCTGAAAAAACGCACAGGCTGCAATCTTAAAAACGTTTTCTTGAGATGTTCGTTTTACTTCCACAAGAACGTTTTATGAAATTGTAGCCTGTATAACAGAAGATAACACTTTGCATTTGCTTTCAAAAATATTTTAGGTACCATAGTATCCAATCCACACCTTAACAGCTGTTGTGTATCTATGTGTGTCTCACCAGGCTTCAGGAAGCAGGTTGATGTATTCGTGTGGAGAGGTGGTTTCTGGAAAGTTGTAAAGGATAGCTAACCGATGCTGGAGAAGTTCCGCTCCGTGGTACGTGAACAGAATGGCCAGAGCCTGCACGTTACTCTCCTGTAGGCAAACAAATGCATCTGATAACCAAAACCTTTTACTCAATTAAATTGAACAAAAGCAACTGAACACTATGTAATTATATTACAAAAAACAACCTGCAGAAAATGAATGACAATCTAAACCTAAATACTTGACACAAATCAGTTAATTCTAATGCATTATATCAGAAAACAGGTCCAAAATCCTTCAAATAGAAACAGAGCTGTCTATTAGTTTGTCCAGCCCATCACAGAGGGTAGGATAAATAACACAATACAATGCAACAACAGCACCAACTACATCCTCCATAATGATCATACAGTAGAATCGACACCTCTCTAAACAGTCTCAACAAAAACTGAACATTATTATCTTCATGAAGGAGAATTTACTGCAGGGCCGTTGCATTAGCTTTGGCTAGGTACTTAAGAAAGTGCCAAAAGAGCATATATCACTTTGGTGCCGATGGAGGTGCAGACGGCTAAAATAAACTGATTGAGATAATTAGTGAGAGATTTGAAAGGAAGTGAGAGTCTGATGTTACCCTGGCGTAGTTTCTTGCTGACAAAACAATATTTTGACTGCGGAACTTCTTGAAAAACTCTGCATCGTATTTCTGCTCCGCTGCATGAGGACCGCCCAGTATTTCCTGGAGAGTGTGGGCAACAGAGAGAGAGGAGGAGAGGGTGGAGAAAGAAGGAATACAACTGTGGTTCATAAATAACATTGTGAGGTAGCAGGGTTATCTTTCCTGAGAAAACTGTGTGAGTCGACAGAAAGTCAAATTAAGGATGAGAGGAAGAGAGAGAGTAGAAGATGTGACTGCAAATGAATGCAGTAGGGCAAAGTCAACAGAGAAGCTCATCTAACCTTCTGGTATACAGCTGTCTTGTCCTTTTAGCTAGGGCCAGGTATGAGCACAGGGATTCTAGGAAGGTAAGACAGCGTGTGTGTGTGTGTGTGTGTGTGTGTGTGTGTGTAAAATCTTCTCTCTCATGGTGTGTGTGTCTTTGTGTAGAAGTGCATGTGAGGCTGTGTATGTCTGATGAATAGGCTTTGAATGGGCCATATGCAGACAGACCCAGCCCAAGTTGGAATGATAAAAACCCTAATGTCATATTCGCAGACAGTCAGAGAAAATGGACTGGGGCAAAAAGAACCTGACGAGTGCTGCAGTTACCATGACAATGTCCAAATACAGAGAGAGAGAGAGACATTATTCTGTCTGAGCTGAATATCTATCAGGGTAAAATCTCATCTCTCCTCTAGGAGAAAGTATGGCCCTGTTCATCTGTGATTCACTGTGGATGAGAAGGGTGTGCATGTTAACATTAGTCACTTTAAATCTAAAATCCAGAGTGTTAAGTAGTTGCTAGTGCCAAAGTTCCTCTATTTATCTATTTACTATATCTTATATTGACAGGAGATTGAGAAAGCAACAAGAAAAGGCAGAGGAGAAAAGCTGTGCTTTAGAGGGATTGGATATTAAAGGAGAAAGCATTAAGTTGCCAATGGGAAACACAAAAACTGAACAATAAAGAATATTAAAAAGCATTTTAAATTAGCATGTCTTATGTGCACATGTAAATGAACACATACTATGGTCCTTTTGTGACCCTCAAACTTTGTATAATTAGAATAATAGTTTAAAATATTTCAACCAATTCTTCCTTCCTATGAGGTTTGTCAGAAGCAAACCTAAATTTCTTGAGCTCTGTATTCATAATGAGACATTAGTCAGACGCCACTGAGCCTGCTGGCTCCGAGCTGGACCAGTCAACACACTATTAGACGTAATATCAATAGTGATAACAAAGAAAAAAAAAAATTTTTATGCTCTTTCTGATTCAAATTTTTATCTTTAGTCAAACAATCAGATATAAAGCAAGTTCTGTGTGTTTTGAATTTGCAATGAACAACCTTTTTGGGGTCATACTTCTGGCTGGTTAAATGCCAATCCAATTAATTACTTTTACTCTGTGCCAACCGATCTTTGCCAGCTTCACTCATCGTGACCTGACACCACCTTCAGTGGTCCAAAACATTTCAACCCAGGATGCATTTCAGCAGCACTGACAGGGGACGGCAGCTAGTGTCGTGCCGCAGACTTTCACTACGTGGCCAGTGGAGACCGTCTCGAAAATATCAGCACAGCCGTGGCTTCAAAGTTAAATAAATGTCACCATAACTCTGTGCATGCGTTTCGCCTTGCAGCTTCTTCAGATTTGCTCATTATATGATCAGCAACACTGGATGAGCTTTTAAAGGATCCTTATGAGTCTTGATAGCCTGTGCTCAGTTGCAGATCATGTGACACAAGCATTTACATTTATAAATGCATAACATTCGTACTGTTTTTATATACATTAATAAGTGATTTGTAGATATTACATGCATCTAGTCAGGAAATTAATTAACTGAGTTTTGTTTGATTATGTGTTTGTTTTAAAATGTTCCTCAAATGTGAATATTTTCCAGTTTTCTTAGTCATCTATGATAGTAAACTAAATAACTGAACAAGACATTTATAAACACCATCTTTGACTGAAATTTTATAGACAAATAATTAATGGAAAAATAATCAGCAAAGTGATCTGTAATGAAATAATTATTAGTTCCAACTCTAATTACATTTATTTAAATGTATGACTTCAGGTTATGTAATAACTGTGTGCAGCAGTTCGAATCAACCAGAACCATGGCGAGTAGTAGATGTTACCTCATATGTGGCCAGCCGGTCCAGGTAGGAGAGTAGTTTCAGTCGGCTCCGACACAGCTCCTTCTGCTCTAGAGTCAGCCTACAGTAAGCATGCACATGCACACACACACATTTTTGATTTGATTTATTTATTCTTTCAAGCATGTAAAGACAGTTGATATATCAACACACATAATTTTACACATATCCAACAAATGCTAATCCAATATCAGTTTGCTTATACCTAGTGCATGCTTGAACGAAGTAGGAAGAAGTTAGACTTATCCAGTCCTACCCCATGACATCATCTTACCATCATTGGTTTGCAAACAGTATCTCTACATAGATAATTCTCTTCTACACCACACAAGTAATATACTAAAGAATTATTACAGAGTATTAACATTCATACACCACACCCACAATGTTCCATCTAATTATTCATTAAGCCTGTTCTTGCATATATCTTGATTGACACATACCTTTATATTTATGTTTAAACTCGTCAATTCTATTACTATTTTTTATGCGTAGTGCTTTCCCGTCCAAAATATATCTAACCCTTGCCAATATCGATATATTCTTTGCCATTTTGTGCTGAACATATCTGATATGAGATTTCCAGGAGAATTTGTCGTCAACTATGACACCTAGAAATTTTATTTCATATACTCGTTCTATATTAACATGACTGTATAGGCACATCACAGCATCACAATTAAGACAAACCTGCGAGCCAAAATATGACCTTACCACTCAAATTACAAGATGGGAATAGTGTTTTGTACTAAACACATCCAAAGCAAAGCCAAGCTTAGTCTATATACTGTAAGAACAAACACTCTAGCTTTAAATTAACTGTAAATTGGCCCTATACAGTACACCTGCCCCAGGGACCTCAATGCTCAGGACCAGTGACTACAATACCACATATAGTGCCCTCGAGACCTTATTGTTTTCTAAGGGGAACAAATCAACTCCTTATGACCACAAGAACCCTCTAGTTGTTATGTATGGGATGCCGATGTTGTCAGTGAGGTTTGTGATGGCCCTGTGAGAATCAAATCATTTTCTGTGTCATTTAACACTACCATAAATAAACTGGATGACCACAAACACCAAGGCAGGCTATACCAACAATTCAATAATTCAAGGTATGGCTAAGTGAACGGAACCACAAGGCTGGAATCACCTCTGTTCACACACACAGTGAAATAAAACTTTTTTTTTAACACATACTCACACACACCCTTCCAAGTCCACCTCACAAGAAAACAACCTGACCAGGCTGAGCAGTGCCTAAAGCCTGGATCAACCGCACTGCGACCACAGTGGAGCTGACCCCTCCACCACCATCTTAATCTCTAATCCTTCATTACAGAGTGCGCTATCAGGCCTTATCGAGGTACTTCTACACAGACTAACAGAGATTAACACTGGCTCGACACACTCTTTGGCACATCAAAGAGTGGCGGCTTAGCGCTCGTACTTGAGGTAATTATTGCTTTGCTCTGTTCCTTAGAGCAAAGAAAAAAAAGCTGAGATGGAGGAAAGAGGCAGGTGGCAAGAAAACTCTTTTACACGTCTCTTGTCCTCTCAGGGTTTTGAATGATGGCTCAATCAAAACATCCAACATAAACAAAATGCCCTCAGGAGAAGAAAACTGATGACAGGACACCCGTCATTCTCACTTCAGATTTGATAAACATCTTCATTTAGTGAAAGACTCTTTTCTTTAGATTAAATGTAGAATCTGTAAAGCATTTTTAGCCGTGCTAGCCAGACAGTACATCCTAATGACTTTCATCACTGTGATTACTTAACTCTCCATCTAGTGCTTTGTTTTGGTTTAAAAAAAACTGTCTTCAATAACTAAATTATTTAAAGTTAATCAGCTATAAATTATTTTGTGCTAATTTACAAATTTAGCATGCTAACATGAAAAACTAAGATGATAAGCTGTTTAAAATAAGCATGCTAGCATTATCATTTAGCTCAGATCGCTGCTGTGCTTGGGTACAGCCTCATAAAGTGTTAGTATGTTCTTTATCTTTTTTGTTCTTATTTTTGAAAATGTATAGCTGATTAAAAAAAAAAACCTGTTATTTAACATCATCCATTAATTAAAGGTCTCAGTTTTTTTCCTTGAATCAGAGGCAGCCGGATGTTCAATTCAGGTACATGACTCTTGCTTCTACTGTAAATTGCAAACTCTGCTTCCAAATTGCACTGAGGTACAGCATAAACAGTGTGTAATACACATACAAATGGGCAACATGGCTGCACACCACATGGCCAACAGAGCACATGTGCTTTTGTATGTTCCCTGAATTGCACTTGCCGTAATCACTGACTCAATAGGGAAAATGTAGTTAAGAAAGGACCAGGATGAACAAAAACATTGAAACATATCTGAATGGAAAGTGACAATGTTAAGGTTTAAGATGTAATGTGCGCAACTTAAAATGGCCTTCAGACTGTTGCACACCATTGCCCATGCTGTCTAATGTAAAGAGAATAGACCCTGCATGTATCTTAATTTCAAAGTCAGATGGCACCACTCCCCTGTCTCTGTACAAGCATCCCGAATACAACAATACTGAGCAGAGATTGAAATGCATCAACAGGCCAACACATTTATACACACACACACACACACACAAATAGAGAAATATGGTGTGATAAAAGCGATTATCACAAAGTCTGAAGGAAAAAAATAGACTGCATAAACAGACAAAAACACTCCGGCTCGCTTGCCTTCACATTCCACAGTAAAAGCATCAACAGTCGTAGGCACGCACACACACACAAACACACAACCAATGCTGGAGAAAATGAGACTTCTGATTGAGGTCTGAGTCTGATCAGATAAGAACATAAACACCTTACAGCAGACTGCACACTCATCTTGCCCACTATCTCTATTTCCTTTCTCACACACAGACACACACTACAAATACAGTACTGTACATCTTTGTGTTTTATGCAGAGTCGGAGCAGCACTTACAACGGGCCTTGGGGGATTCTGAATTATACTTATGCACACACACATGCAAACACAGAGAGAGAGAGATGAGAAGGAGGCTAAAAAATAAAACTATCTGCATGCAGTCAAACCAAGAGTTTAAAACATGCATGGCAAATAATGCTGAACAACAATAACCAAGCCCTGAGGAAGTCTGTATTTTATGTGACATTACATTTCAGAATTGCTGCATGCACTACCAGAACAACGCATTGCCTATAGGAGTAGTGCTGGTAGTAATGAGAGAGGCTGGAGAAGTACATTAGCACTGAGGATTTTATTAGGTCCTTTAAATAGAACCTGTAACTACTGAGAAGGAAACAAACATCTTTGGATAGTAGAAGTCAGTTGAGTGGATCTGACTAATGTGATCACATCTAATGTGACTCTGACCTGGACAAACCTGAAAATCCCTGACAGCTTCATGGAATAGTGCAAATATCTTTTGCAAGTACTCTAGGCTGCTAGCAAGAAAGCTATAACACAAAAGTGGCTGTGGCTAATACCTCCATCAAAGGACAGTTAGGCTGCAACTGTCAATTAAATAAACCATAGGGAGAAACACCGTATTTAAAGTACTGGGAAATTGGTCTTCATATGCTGACTGAGTTGTAACCCATTGCATCTGTCACTGAAACATTCTTTCCTTGTATTTTTATAATGCTGCCCTTGTCAACCCCTTATAGCTGTTTTGTTTTGCATTCTCTGAAAATACCAAAAAAAAATTTTTTTAAAAACTTCCACGTGTCACCTTTTCCCTTTCTGTTATCCAATGGTAAGAACAATCGTGCTTTATTTCACTACAGTGACTGAAGACTGAAAAAAAACACTGGCTTTCAGGCATGCACATAGACACAGACGACCTCAAAACAGTAGAGGGACAAAAGAAGCATTTTCTGTATGACAGCCAGTAGGTACAGAGGCTTCCAAAAGGATTCAGACCTCCCTCACCTTTTGCACAATTTCATGTGTTGCTGATTTAATTTCAAATTGACAAAACTGTCATTGTTTCCTGCCTGTATGTGTTGCTGATTTAATTTCAAATTGATTCATTGTTTCCTGCCTGCCTACAACAAATAACCAATAATGAGTGTTTTAAAATGTGTCTGCAAATTTGTTAAAAATCAAAAACCCAATTCACTCATTTATAAAAGTATTCAGACCCTTTGCTGTGACACTCCACATGAATGTTTACTTTAATTATCCATGAGAAGTGCTCGACTGCAGTCCTCCTGTGGCAACCTGAAGACTAGCCAGTCTACATAGACTGGACACAGTTTAGAAAATTAGAATGAAGCACTACCAATATGGTGATGGCCCAACTTGAGCTTCAAAACTGCTCTTCAGAAAACCAACAGGTGACGTCCCGGTGGGTTTGTCCAGCTTTTATATAACGTGGTCTGAATACTTTTGTAAATGGGATGTTTCAGTGTTTTATTTTTTTAATAATTACAAAACACTCCTGTTTTTACTTTGTCCTTTTGGAGCACTGTGTGTAGATTAATGAGAAAAAGAACTGAATCAATTTTAAAATGAGTCTGGATCATAACAAAATGTGGAAAACTTGAAATGGTCTGAATACGTTCTGAATCCACTGTAAATAAACCACCAATCATAAGGTTGGACACACTTTGATTTGAATGGAAAGTATGTCCACCCTGGACAGGCCACCATTCTATCGCAGGGCTGACACGTAGACAAACAGCCACACACACCCACACTCACTCCTATTGACAATTTAGCGTCGCCAGTCAACCTAAGCTGTATGTCTCTGGACTGTGGGAGGAAGCCGGAGCACCCGGAAAGAACCCACACGGGTACAGGGAGAACATGTCTGTATATTTATATATATTAAAAAACACATTTGGGGACACATGTGAGCTGTCTGACTCAAAGATAGTGAAAGAAGAAAAACAGGTATATTTAACAAAGGTAATTTAATGTGATGGTTTCTTTAATGTTGGCAATTATCGATTTTTTACTCCCATTTTTTTTTACTTCTTATCCTCCATCTTTTCATTATCTACCATGGACTCCAGTTCTGCAGTGAAGCTAAACTGTTTTATTGCGCAATGAACTAAACAGAAAGAAAATTAAACTGGCAAAGGGACAACAAACTGAACAGGCGACTGAGGAGCAGATGTTACAAAGGATTTATATTACACCGTTTCTGCTCCTCCTCATTCAAATGCAGACCGGAGGCTGACTGGGTTAAGTATCTGATGTGAAAAGAACAATTGCATAATCAGGCTACTGAAGCTTGAAATACCTGCATACACAATCCGTCCCTGCACAAACACAAAACTGATATGGATTTTAAATGTGCATCATTCATTTCAGTTTATGGACATTTACTTGTGTTTATGTTAGACCATTTTAAAACGTGCAGTATGTGTATGAACCCAAGCTTAAGAGCGTTTCATGATACATGGTTATTTGCATGTGTGTGCGTATGAGAGGTGATTAGTGATCCCTAAAGGGGTTTTCATTAGTCTTTCCCTGGGCACTTGACAACAAAGGCATAAATTACCTCCAACAGATTACCCACTAATCTCTACCAACATGTTCACCCTCTCTCTCTATCCCTCATCCTCATTAATGTCCCTGCCTTTATGATCCCCTCTCCGTAGTGCAACTTTATCAAACAATCAGTGCTCAATTTGGCAGCCTTCCCTCCAATTTCCTCCTGGTTTCCTTGTCTACACCTTAAATACCTTCATCACAATTTCTCCTTTTCTTTATTTTCAACAGTGCAGTCATTACAGTTGGTACTGGGCATAATAAGGATTTAATTTCATCTTTCTAAACATTAGACAACAACCTGCCGACAAGGCGACTCACAGGGGTCAGCTTCAGGTTCCACTTTGTGGGATTTTTTTTCCGCCCACCCAACAACTGCTACTGAGATTGAGAAGATGGTGTTGAATTCTGGTGTTTTAGTCACATGTCTTGACAGTTATAAGTAGCTCTAAGGGGTAAAGTATTATTACTGTAAAAGGATAGCATTTAAAATACAGGCTTTGATAACCAGAGAGGCAGATGCTTGCCAAGAGAACCTGGATCCTCCAGCTGAAGGACAGTCCCATTTACCCACTAGGCAGGCCTGGTGATTTTGTTCAAATAAATCCTCTCTTCTCAGTACATTCAGAGAGTTGGCAGCATTTCTGCATGATATGACTTTCTGCCTTCATCTGTTGCCTGACTGAACTGCCAAGCTGACTAACAAACAGTCTGTACCTGCTGAAGTCGACCTTGGCTAGCAGCTCGTGTCTCCTCCTCTTCTCCATTTCCTTCTTCATCTCCAACCCGTCATCGTCTGACAGGATGTCTTCGTAAGGTAGGTCATCAAGGTCAACATCACCTGGCATGATAAACCTAAGTAAATACAGTTAAATAAAATGAGGCAGGCAGCATGAGACTCCAGAAGCTGAAAAAATCTACTGTCATGTGTAGACGATATGCATTCATGTGTTCGTGCATGCCCCACCTGCCCCCATCCTCTCTGTTTCCTATGGCTATGAGGGCCTCGAGGTCAGTTCCTTTCAGGCCGTACTGCAGCAGCTCCTTGGCTGCATCAACATTCTCCGGGACACGCTCCACACACTCGTGCAACACCCATGAGCGCTTGCGGATCTTGCTCTGGGAATCGAACAAGAAGGAATGAGTTCAACAGAAATGATGGGATAAAATGAGAAACAGAATTAGCACAAAAAGGAATAAGGGGATTGTGCTGCAGTAAGCGTGTAATTCTCCCACTCACCCACCATATATTTCTACCAGACATCTAATATACTGTGACAAACACCAAAACTCTGCTGCAGTTCTTCATCTCTCTCTCTCTCTCTCCTCCTCAACCATCTCTCCTACCCAGTTCCTCACACCCATTTCTCTTATTTCTTCCATCTCTTACCAGATAATCTTGTATTGAGGCGATGCTGACCGTACTCTTCCTCCACTGTCTTTGGTAGACCAGGTCAGAGTCCAGATTGTATGCTTGGGCAAGAGACAGGGCTTCCCCATATTCCTCATTGTCAATCTATGAGGCAAATGAAAAGACAAGTGCATGAACACTGAGCTGAGGGTAAGGCAGACAAGTGTTTGTGAAATGAAAGGAACAATATATTTGATGAGAACTTTGACCAAGCATTGCAGACAGCAACTCTAATTAAGTGGCACAGTAAGTTTTTGGGTGTAAAATTGATGTTGGGTACAAAACAAAAGAAGAATTAATTCATTTCATATTCTGAGGTGCATTTTTACACCCAATTATCACCTCAAGGGTTTATTACGATTCAATCTTCATGCACTGTGTTCCTAAACAGAGATAAA